TTTCTTTCTTTCTCTCTCTCTCTCTTCATCTCTTCATCTCTCTCTATCTCTCTGTTTCTCTATGTTTCTCTGTCTCTATCTCTTTCTCTTTCGCTCTCGTTCTTTCTCTCCCTCTGTCGGTCTCTCTGCTTCTCTCTTCTTCATCAGGGCATGGGGGGCGTGTCAAGCCTCCGGCCGCCAGGGACGCCGCCCCTCCGGTGTCTCTTTTTTTTTTTTTTGTCGTTTCTCTCNNTCTCTCTCTCGCTCGCTCGCTCTCTGGGTCGTGCAGTTTTTCAACTCCCAGCACGATTTTGCGGTCAAGGGGTCCGTGCAACTGTCTGTTCTCTCCTCTCCCTCTTTGCCCCTCCTCCTCGACTCAACCTTAGGGGCGCAAAGTTTAACAGAATCCAACCAAGGATCCCAAACTCATCACAAGAAGTTAGCCGAGAAAGGACCTCCGCGAACCGAACCCTCGTAGCTCAGAACACCAGTGCTGCCAGGTCACGACCGAGTGCTGTCACTTCTGACCTTGCGACGGTAACCAGGATTGTTTTATTTGCGCTTGGGCTAACTTGGAGTTCATTGACTTCAGGTGGTATGCAGCATCTACAGGCTACAGGATGATGTCCAGCGCTATGTCTTGAATCGCAATCGCGCCTCAGCAAGTGGTTGGAACTGACTCGCCCTTCCCCAGCCTAGGGCTGACCACACTGTCAAATGCAAGTCCCGAATTTTAGTGTACACCATAACGCCGAACCCTAAGCCGAGAATCCTAAAGCCCATGGCACAGCGCTAACAAGGTGTTTAGCTTCAGTTTTTCAGAACTGATTCGGGTCGTTCGTTTCGGCTACGGCATTATGCCGTAGCTTCCAGATAAAGCTTGTAGTAAGCATGTGCACGGAGGTGTACGGTCTGGAGGGCGTCCCCGGGGTCGAGCGCGTGGTGTTGCCGAAGGGCTTGTGTTGGGAAGGGTGTGGAGCCACGGAGCGGCACTAAGAGCCACTGGCTCGACGAGCACCCCCCTGTCCCGCCGCTTGGCCGCACTAGGGCCACAGTCTGCCACAGTGCCGACAAAAGATACAGCAACGATTCCGGACCTGAGCGAGCAACCAGGCCGTTGATCGACTTCCCTAACTTCGTCCCGTGTTGGGAGTGAGCTTGGGTCTTGCAGGACAGCAGTGGCTCCTGATCGTTAGAAGTGTGCCTGGGTCTTTCCAAGACAGCCGGCACCTCCCGGGGCCACGATGACGGCAGCTGGTGGTCACCCAAAACCCTGTAAAACGACATCTGCAGTGTGGTCTTGGGATGGCCTCGTTGGCGTCAATTGGAACTGGCAAAGTGTACAGTAGGGCGGCTGGTACAATGGTCGCAGGTGTATTAGCATAGCGTCTCCCCTGCGCAGGGTTGCAGCAGTGGTGCTCCCCGATCCATTCTGCGGGTCGTAGCGTTGGTGCTCCTCGCCCTCACACATCGCGGCATCGGTGCTCCCTGTTCGGTCGTAACCGAAACTGTGACACTTTTATCCTTTTGTTGGGAGTGCGCATGGGTCTTGCTCAGGCAGCTGGCGGCTCACATTGATCGTACCCACTACAACGATGCCAGCAAGTTGTTCTCTTTCACCCTATCACATTAACGCCCTCAGCATATTACTAGGAGATGACTTTAAGATTCTGCCTTTTGCTTTGCTTTGATCTGCTGCGCCTTGGGCCATGACGGTTTCGGAGCCCATTGCCCCGTTTGCATTTTAACCCCTTTCTAGGGGCGGAGACAGCACGGGTGCCCGTTCCCTTGCCGGCAGATGACACCTCTCTCTCTCTCTCTCTCTCTCTCTCTCGCTCTCTCTCTCTCCCTCTCTCTCGCTTTGGGTGTTGGGATGTGCTGCTCAAGCACTTGTCACTGCGCCACGATTAGGAAGCTGGAAGTACGGCTTTACCCCCAAACAAGCGTCCTATAATCGTGAACAACTCTAAAGCTCACGGAAAGCTGATGCGTGTAAGGTCGTGAGGTGAGCCGCAGGTGAGTTCATGAAACTCATGTATGTGCAGTCTCCATCAGATGCCTCCTCCGAAAATGCAGATACATGCTTGCATCACCCAGCCAGATGAAACGATGCCGTAGTTGCGCAGAGCCGTTCACAATCCCTACTCAGCCTCGCAATCCAAATTGACAGGGGCACCGTCCTTTGAGATGCAATCTTGGGCTCTGGGGAGCCATTTTTTGAACCTTCTGAAACCTGCCCTGGGACGACCCAGCACCCCAATCACACCCCGGAGCTTTGAATATTGAAGCTCGAGGAAATCCATGACGGTCTCAACATCGAGCACTTCACCCAAAACCAAGATCGTCTACTGTCTCAAGCCATGAGCCCTAAACCCTAAAGCTGCTGACCTTCGTCACCGCCGCCTCGACCATCTTGGAAGGCCTCAGAAAGGTACTGTAGTAGTGGAGTTGCGCGGTCGAATATGCAGATTTCAGGCTTCGGTGGCGGCTGTCGTTTGTCTAGCAGCTTTCTATCTCAAAGTCTGAAGCTTCCTTTCAGGACTAGCCTTCAATCACGTGACCTCCGTGAGGATGACAGCGAATTGGCAACAGGGTCTGGATTTTGGGTCTGAGGATATGCAGCCCAGTTCTTGACCTACATAGTCGGGATACCATTCCAGAATTTACACGACCTGGACAAAATCTTGCATGTAAGCTACAGGCAAGGAAACTACAAGTGCGCTTTGTGCTGGAAACACAGCCAGCGTCGTCAAAGCCACATCTCCGATCTCAGTCCTTGCAGCAAAGAAGCGGGCAGTGGATCCCATGGTAGGGAACCAGCTGCAATTTCTGGACTTGAGCCACAGCGGCAAAGTACAGGCTTGTTTCTGCATGCCTGACTGCTGGAAGCCGTTACGGTCACCATCCAAGTTGGACAGCTGCCTGCTTCAGGTCTTTTCAACACCAAGCAGGAATGCAACTCATATACTGTCCAGAGACAGGGCCCCTATTGGGGCTGCTCGACAGCAAGTCTCAAGCCGTGCAAATCTCGTTGCAGGAGAAGACACCTGACAGAGTTACTGCCCTCCCCAATACAACCCTACCAGAATCGTAAGCCCAAACATTGCATCAAGAAGCTTTAAAAGCCAAGCCCCGAAGCTCTGTTTTCGCTACTCCAGGGCTCCTCCAATCTTCTGCGGTCGGCTACGCTTGATCTGTGCCACAGTTTTTCGCCGTTGCCTGGGCATGAGGGTTTGCAACTTCAACCACCCGAGCCGGACTTTGCGCCCCAACGTCCTCAGTACATGATGGATCCTTTTGGTGAGACACCTTCTATTGCAGCATCCACACCGTCGTAGATTTCTCTGAACCGCCCTTCATGGGAAGAGTATTTTTACGGCATTTTGAATTAGTTCTTATCTTCTTATCTGCAAGCTATCTACAAGATTGTCCTCTGCCTCTTCTGTTCGAGCATTTTGAGCTTAGCCCTGAGGCTTGAGAGGTGCATCCGCGAAGCTTCAAAAACGTTCACTTTCGTTTGATTGTTGCTGTTACAATTAACAAAGATCAGAAGCGGCCAGATCATACAGGCACCTAGGGCGCAAACCTATGCAGTGAGACCTGACTTCCAATATTGGGGCAACCGACAGCCCTCAACAGCATCCGCAAAACTCAACAGCCTACCAACACTCAAGTTAAGCCAAGCCGAGTACCAAGGACCCCTGCCACGGTCCACCCAACAACTTAGTCCCGGCACTGACAACCCGAAGCAGAAGGAAACAGGAGGGCCCAGAAGGCCCAGGAATTAATGAAATGATCCCGAACGGCAAACGAGCTTCCGAACCAAGCACACAAGAAGTTCCTGAACCAGAAACCTGGGCTAAACAGTTGAAAAGCTGTCAGAAGCCCACAAGCTCGGCAAAGATCCGAGACCGACGCACGAAGACCAAGCAGGCGCCCATGGTTACAAAGGCGGCGATCAGGGCCAGAATCTCCCGGGGGATTTTACTCACGACCCTACTTCGAGAAGCCGGACATAGCTACTGGTTGTCGTTTTGAGAAGCATGTTAGTGAAGGATCTACAGCTTTGGTGCACACGAGCATTTTCCGAGCTGGTCGAACAATCATCGGACCAGTGCTAGATAGCGGCTGATCCTGCAACTCTTGAACCTTCAAGGCTGCTGTACACCCGAGAACCTTACATCTGTTGATTGTGAGCTCCAATGTTTAGGCATCCAACAAGATGACTGGGAACCCTAGTACAACTTTAGAGATCGCCCTTGGCTTTCGCGAAACCGTCCGAGGTTGTTAGATGTCTCAAGGTGCAACACTTCAGGCTTCAACACTCGTTGTTGAGGGCTCACTTTACTGGAATGACCGGCTCAGGATTCATGTTTGAATGCGGGTTTTCAATATGCCCAGGGCTGGAGCTTGTCAGGTCATGGCTTGTGGCGGGGGCCGGTTCAAAATTCATCCTTCATAGCAACAATCTGCTACAAACTCAATATGACCAGACCTCATGGCTGGGGACAAAGAGTAGGATCTGCACATTTGTGCCAAGGGTACAGTCGTACAGCTGTCAAGCGAAGTGAATGAAACCGAGTACCTCCAGAAACTCTAACGACTCTGATACTCTCACGGAGGATACGAACAGCTGGCAAGAAAAAAAGAAGTTTATTATCTCACAGCCTGCGAGTCTTCTTGCTTCGGGCGGAATCGCCATAACACAAAACACGGGCTTTTCCATGCACGACTTGCATACGGGACAGCTGAACACATCTCTTGGCATGTCTGTAACACCCTATGCCGGTGGGCATCACAACACCGCAACTTCTCTTGCCAAGCCCTAGAAAACATCATAATCTGTTGCGAATATGACAAACGATTACCTCGCGAATTCCCACAGCCTTACCAACTAGACCTGGAATGACTATGTAATATTTGGCATGTGCCTAGTTTTCAGTTTCACAGTCAAGAGGTCACGGAGCAGCAATTGACACGATGATGCATGCTTGCGATTCGTTGGTCGACTGTGCTCGCAGAAACTTACGCGAACGCTTGACCTTAAACGAGTCGAAGATCGGATCAGAACAACTCATGGGTGCTCTGTGTGTACAGTGTTGGCTTCCTCGATGGCTTCCTGAACTTGACCAGTCTTGTGTGGCTGATTTCCTTGATCGGCCTGAGTTCTGACTTCAAGTTCTTGCTGGAAGATTCAAGTGATATGACCCAGGGCTTCAGAAGTTGTGCACCTTTTTTCTCTTTCTATGGAACCGTAGGGTGTCACGTCAAGAACATTCACAGCTGGTCCATGTGCGAGTGTGTAAGAACGACCTCCGGGCTGCCGACACGCCCCTAACCCCAGCCTTCAAACCGTAAACGCCCGACGTAAAGCCCTCTTGCGTTTACTCCGAAAATCCTTGAGCGCATCACAGCTAAAGGCTTAAACCTTCCACCGTTTCCGCACCATTAAAACTTATGTAGCTCGGGCAGAACATGCAGAACACCTCGTTTGTGAAAACAAACTCCAAAATTGATGCCAAGATCCCGCCACTGGAACCTCGCGCAGGAACACCGAAAACCTGCAGCCTCAACCAAGTCGTTGTCCTGAAATCTCTCCACCACAACAGCACCATCATCCTCTTGATCAGTCATCATCATCATCACATAGATCATCACCGACATTAACGCCATCAACAACAGTATTAGCTTGCTCATCTTCTTCTTTGTCATCATCCTCTTCTTTATCATCACCACCATCGGCCAGGACACAGAAGAACAACCTCCTGATCCTCCCCATCATCATCATCATCGTCAGCAACAACACCATCAACAATCTTCCTGGTCTTCGTCTCTTCACAACGATCGCCATGACCACCACAACAAGGAATTGCACTACTAACACCACGAGAAACACTATTGGACCCCTCACTTGTCGGTGCACCGTACAGGCCAAGACCCTGTGCCGAAAACCCTCGTCCGAACCTTGCCTTCTCCGCACGGGATTCTCTGGCAGTGTCAACTTTCCTGTTAGGCGTTTGCGCTCAAGGTCTAAGATGCAGGCCTGGTTTAGGCGAAAGTCTTGAGAGCTTGCATTATGTGGTGCAGCCCTGCAAGGCCAATTTATCTTTCGCAGCAAAGCAGTATAACACCACCCAGCCGCTCTACCCAGGTATCTGCCAGGTGGAGACATTACTCTGTCCAACCACATTGCTCGGAACAAGCTACCATGATAGGTCATGTTTTCACCGGCGCAAAGTCGCGTTTCGGAAACCCCCAAAACCCACAGATCAGAATGCTTCCAACCTAGAGCTTTAAGCCTACAAAAAGACTGTTGCACTCATCACAGGCGGGTGGAGACCAAAGGTCATATCTTGTCCCTTAATTCAATCCATATCCCAGCCGTCTCTTCTTCTCACACCGACGGAGCCCAATAGGTTCTCCCGTCAGGGAGAAAACCAGAGCCAGGGGTCTTCCCCTCCCCCCACATAGGTTGCTTTAAGCAACAAACCTAATTTCCCAATAAGCCTTAACTTCTACCCTTGACCCGGGCCCAAGCTGAGCGTCTGGCCCTGATTTCTTTGGCACGCCTTTGGCATCCACCTTGATGCTAGAGGAGGAAGAAGGTTCCCAGTCTTGAGATTTAGAGTTTGAAGGCTCGGGTCCAGATATGAAGGTTCAGGGTTCAGTTCTGACTCCATTCACTTGAAACACCTGATTTGGGAAAGATGCAGAACCGCGTGTCATGACACGGATGCATGGAAGCCCAACGAAGCAAGTCTTGAGCTAGTGTCTCGGGCTCACGAAGCCTATTCCGGGTGGGGTTTCAGGGTCAGTCTCTGGCCTCGGTAGCCGCAGATGTGCGAACGAAGTTGGCGATGGGCTCTACATAGCTGGAGAGCACCCGATGCCCACCTTTCTAGAAGAACTTCGCACGAAGGGTTCGCGAATAATTGCATGCCAGACATGCCAGGTCTTGACTTGGCTCAGGGTTTTTCGGTTCCAGCTGCGAAATACTCGCAGTCGGTGCACTCCAACCATCCGTGCAAACATCTCCAAACCCAGAGCCGAGGCCTTCAGAGGGTTTAAGATCTAGTTGCTCCAAACCCGCAGGTTTTAAAACAACCTTCCAGTATTAGATGCCGGCATCGAAGCAGTGAGCTCGCAGCAAGGCTTTCGGCTACTTGCGAAGTAACAAATAAGCTATCGATAGCACTTGGCGGCTTGGGCTAATTACTCAATGTCCCCCGGGGTTGCAGCAAGCTGCAATCGAATGGTTTCGGGGCTGCAGGCAACCGCGGCCATACCAAGCCAAATGCGACTAACTGCTCACTTCTAAAAGCTTCCGCTCTACGCTTTTGGGTGGGTGGCCTAGCCGCCTGCGATGTGCAAAACCATCCTTGACATCTTCAAGAGTCTTTCGCAAGTGTGTGTGCCACGCACCTGGAAAGTCACAAGAGCCTGATTGAGAAATCACCACAAAGCCTGAATCCACATGCTGCGAAATCAGGACATCCTTGCTGTGCCTGTGGGCTCGGTGTGAAATAGTTGTACTCGCCTCAGCAAAGCACGAGACGCGAGTGTGGATCCCGCAACCACAGAAAGGAAAAAACCTGGCCACTGCTCGCTGCTGCAGCTCAACATAGCTCAAAGCTTGGAGCCTCGCCTTCGGCGTTCCGGACATACGATTTGCAAAAGTTGGCTCCACACAGAGACACAACAACCCGTTGGAAATTGTTTCGTGGACCCTGCAAGCAGCACATTTGGTACATGTAGCATCCAGGTATATGACCAGTAGTGAAATTTAATGGGACTGTGGGGTTCAGCGTTCAGGGTCACCACATGAGCGGCTCATCTTGAGATTTCGGACTGAGGGTGGCTGTCAGCTTTTGTCTGACAGGATTTCGCTGGGGAGGGATGGTTTACAGTTTGTCCAACATAGGCTGTCGACAACTGCCAAGGGAGATTTTCGGCCGCGAAGCGTGCGGAGACTATGTGAGGTTGGCAGCGGGACCTGCGCCGATTTTACAACATGCGATTCAGGAATTCGAGGGTACTGTTGTAACTGCGAGTTCTACATTTTTAGGTTGAAGGTGTAGGGACTTGTCCTCAAACCCTTCGATTTCGTTTCTTGCAATCTTGATGTCTAAAATGATTCCAGCACATCCTAGAGAAGCATCGTCAAGCTTCCTGCCGCTAGAGAATTGAGAGGCGTTGGCAGTCGTAGCTCCTGGTTCTGAGGAGTTGGGACTCGGACCTCGCTCCGAGGCCCGAAGTCCTTTGGTTTGAGGCGAGTGATCGCTCCAGCAACCTTTCAACCTCTTAATTCGTGAAGATCCTGACGGGCAAGTTGAATCTCCCGTTGCAAGCTTGAAGGTTGTCTCGGTACGCTGGGCTTCTGGGTTGAGACCGCGGGTTGCACCGATTGCTTGAATCGGGATTTTGGGGAAAACATGACTCCACACGCCTACAAACTGATATTCGATTCCCACGACAAGGTCGAGACAAACTCGAGCCCTAAGCACATGCCCCGAACCCCAAACTCGCCACCTCAACTCGCGAGCTGGTACTACATCCTAGTGCTGGAATGGATAAGCCGACCCAAGTAGTGATGTCTATTTTCATGTCGGCCCCACGCATCCCCCGATGCCACCGATCCTACGAAACGAAACTACGAAACCCAAAGCCACGACTCAGAGCCGGAAATCCTCGCTGAACTTTGACCCGTGCTCTCCCTGTCCCCTCCGAACCACAGCATCATCTTCCGCCCAGAACACAGCGACCGGGAGGGAGGCAGGCCTGGAGCCAGGCAGGTAGGGCACAAAAGGCGCCATTTCTCCATAGGGGCAGCGGGAAGGCGTTCCGGGCCAGAATTCCAAACAGCTCATCTCGACTTTCCAGGGGTAGCTGCCACACGTGCTCTAGGAAGCAGTGTCTCTTAGAGTGAATTACCGACACAAGTCCTGAAGTCTGATCCCACAGCTTGCAAACCCAAAACCCCAAGAGCTCAAGAAGCTAATCTCAAAAAACACACGAGTCTGTTGACGAGCTGCCAGGACGAGGGCTCCGCGTGTGCAGGAGCGACGAGGACCAGCTTCTGAACCTGTCCGCTTCCGGTTTCCGAGCTATAAACCATGACAAGTCACGTGAAATCGCAATACTTCCAACAAAAGAGGCTTCCACTCCAACTCGTTTTCGATTTGAGTGTCAAGGTTGAGCTTTCGACGAAGAATTGACGACATCATGGGTGTCCTCGACCTGGAGATTCAAGACATGTTCAAACACTTTGGCACCTGGCTTCGTCTTCAGGAAAAGTTGGCAACCCACTGCGCTTGCAATCCAAACTTGGTATTTTGATCACAATCCGGGGTTCAGGCTAAGATCTGACATCATCTTGCAGCTGAGAGTAAATTATGACGGAGATGTGGCACACTTATCTCCTCCCTGCCGGCTTACGAAAATCCTAAAACCAAAGTTTTTAGTCTTGAGAACAGCGATTCGAGGCCATGCACAAGCTGAAACAACCTGCTCGACAAACAGATCCTTCGTTTGCGGTAGATCGCGCATGGAATTGTTTAACATGCTGAGCTTCTGAAAGCTTCATGCCATGAGCAGAAGATGCCTCATGCTTTGTACAACAAGTTCGAGGCTTCATGACTTGGAGGAAAAGAACATAAAGAAAAGCCTTGGCAACGACAACGAGTGGACATTATTGAGACATGCTTGTGCGCTGTTCGCACTGTGTTGGCATGAGCCTTTCGTTGGGGTCGGCTTGTTCGACGGATGATTCGTCTGCTGCCCGGCATGAAGCGACACTGCAAGCCGGACAGGCAGGAACATTGCGATGGCTTTTTGAGCCTGAAGTTCAAAACTGTGCACGCGGGGAAGTACCAAGCATCTGTTATTGTCGGGGGCAGCACGTCTGTCCCCCAATGCTTCTAGTTTGGCTTTCCCCGACTTGCTTCCGACTGTAAACAGTAAACCAGAATCGAGGCCCAATCCTGAAAGCTTTGGCTCTCGAAGCCAATAGGTTGGCCTTCAGCACATCGCTGCGGGCCAGAGATGAGGCCATACCACCTGTAGCAGTTACAGCAAAAAGTTGCTTGCTCTCTCGTGCCTGAAACGATTGCAATGGGAAGCTGTTGAGGTTCCAGGGCGCTTCCCAAGACGCATGCAACAAGGGGGAAGTGGATGCATATGCATGCACAAGAAGAGGGTGGGATGGCTGTCCTGGAATCTGAAGCCTACGTAAGCATCCTGGACATTAGCCTTGCAGCAGCCTAGTTCCTGTGCAGTGCCAAACCATCAAGCTTCCTGAGACACCGGCAGGCATGATGAGTGTGTGAAAAACAAATTAAAGAACTTCTTCAAACGAGCTGAAGAATCATCATGCAGTCACTGACCTGCACGCTGCGCACTGCGACCGGCCACAACAAGAATGACAATGCAGAACACCTCGTCCACGAACCAACACCCAACCATCAGGTTGGCATGGCGTGTGGAAATTGTCAGAGGCAACATTTGATCCAGCCGATTAGTTTGAGAGATGAACTCATGCGATAGCCCGAATAACCTGTAAGAAGTCAGCCTGGTCCTCGTGCATCCGTTCGTTTGTTCTTAGCTGCCCGAAATCCACAATCATCAACCCTTGACCACTACAACCTAGACTCCAGCCACTACAACCGTCAACCCTAAAGTCCAATCCCCCTTAACCAGCCTGACAGCCTTAACCGGGCCTCCCCAGGACTTGCCCAGCAGCACGGCAATCTCTTCACGGCCACTCGTCCGGAGCCTCTAGTCGACGTCAGTTCGCAGGCTAGCATGCACCAACATGGAATTGAGGATTTCGGCTACAGTGCATCATTGCAGTGCTTCCGTTTGGTTACGGTCGATCCCAGTTGGAGCTCTTTGGTTTTATGCTGGCAGCTTAATGACTTGTAGCTTCCGGTCATGAGGCTGGGGGCGTATTCAGGATTTTCTTGTCGTCGGGTTTTGAGGCTAAGAGGGCTTACAAGTAGCACTAATGGCATTAACGTTGGGTTCCGGATTCAAGCCCTTGCTGGAGGCCTGAAGTCTTTCTGCACTGAGAGATGCAGCAGCTTCAGCTTCGAGGATGCAAGGGCTTGACCACGAGAGCTCGGGAGGTTGCCAGCCAATTCTCCAGGCGTTGACCCCGAATTCATAGCGACTGAGCTCTAAACCTCTAAGCATTGCCACTGCTCTCAGTGCAGGCGATAGAATTAAGCCTGTGGATTTGTTGCACCACTTCGACTAGTTTATTCGAGATCAAGGCTGCGGGAGAACTTCGTTGCAGGGCTTCGTTATTCGTTGCGGATGTGGATTCTAGGATCTTGTGCTTTCTGCACTCTATGGCAAGAATACTAACATTCTAAGCACAAAACCGCAGGGTTCATGTTAAGGGATGTACTACTGATCTACTGACCAATCCGACACAAAAAGTGCTATTTCCTCGCAAATGGCTTTCGTTGGCTAGGGGAGCGGTCACATAGGCAGGCTGAGTGAAGGAAAGGGTTTGGGACAAGTTCGATGCACATCAACGTGCGACTGTGAGAAGACACCCAAGCAAATCTCAAGGCTTCGCGTCAATCTGGAAAACAGCAAACGGCTCGAGGCTCCAAATACTAGCAGAAAGGCAGACGCAAGCAAGCCTTGAATCCAAGCGGCAAATCTTGCAGCAGGCCCTCCAAATCCTTCTCCGAAATCTTTCCGGGCCTGCGGCAATGTCGCACAGCGACAAGTTCATGCTTTGAGCATATCTTCACTCCGACCAACGAGAGAACCTGCGGTGGTCTTGGCATCCGAATCAAAGGGGCTGCGGGATGACTGCAAGTCTTGGGGTCACACTCGAAGTCGAAGCCAGGGGACACCCTGAGCCTTTGACACCCGAGTATCAAAGCTTGCATGCGAGAGTCAGACCCGTGAAAGGGCTCATTTATGTATAGAGAGCGGCTAATCCTAAGGGCGAAAGCCCAAAACCCAAAGCCCTAAAAACATGACCAGATACGGCTTCCAAGTTGTATCAACAAAGCACGTGGACAAACCGGGGCCACCCTGAGAAACATCCAATGCTTCAAGCTGCAAACCCAAGACACCCCTGATTACACCAAACCACACTTCAGCATTTGGGTGTATGGCTTGGGATGCATGGTTTACGTTTAAGTGTCAGAAACCGCACTAGGCCTCGTCTTTTGATTCTCGTGCACGTGGGGCAGGAGTACGTGGTAGCCTTCCTGCTGGTCTTTGTCGATCCACATGCACTAAGACGTAGGCGTAGCGATAGTCCAGACTCAGACGGGCCAAGCGAGACCGAAGCCTGAAAAACCCATGAAGTACGAACAGCACACCCCAAAACTTCCGATCAAGCTTGAAATCCTCTATCCAATATAATTCGGCATCATCCAGTTTAAGGGTTCGGATTTGGATCGTCTCAGCGATTGCTGTCGATTGCCAAGACTCTGGATTGGAGACTAGCATGACCTTTACTATGCTGATTGCAGGTTTAGGCGCGACTCAAGCCATTTCGTTGTGATTCGAGTTCTGCCTGATGCCCACACGGCATGCTGTAAAGCCGTGATCGCAAACCAACCTCGAATCACAGCCTTTGGCTTGCGATTGAATTCTACGCACGAAATTGCCTTGCATCTGCTGGGAACGCCAATAGCTATGGGTTCAGGCCTGTCTTTTCGCCTGCGGGCGCAACCACATCCTCTCCAGATCCAAGCCTGTTTTGTTCAGACGTCCGACTGCCCCAGACCTTCTACTTCCCCAATGCAGCCTTGGCCAAGCGTGTAGCGATCGGGTCAAACTCGCGGATCAGGCTTGGATTTGCACCTTCCAGGATTGTGGTTGCAAGGACGAAATACGGGAGGCGTTTAAATTCGGGAGCCTCAAACCCTCGACATCCGAGAATATTTTGGCGTGATTGAAAGCTTTCTATCGTTGGCATGATGCAGCCTACATATGAACTTCATTTATCTGTGGCAGCTATCCAAACTGCCATTGTCGAAATCCGATATCCTTTGCAGGTCCCGAAAACAGTGCATCCAAAAGACTGAGCTACTAATCAGGAAGTTGAAAGCTCAATTGTGTCAAGACCCACCGGGTGCCACACCCAGAATCCAAAACCCAATGCTCGAAGCCGAAATTGTCCTGCTCAATCGTGTTTTTGTTGAAACCGACCCATAGACAAGAACGCTTTCCTCTCGTGTCAGGTCACTGCCAGCCTCAACCTGGCAGCTTCTAGGCCGCGCCCCCAAGCCCTCGCCCGAAGCTTGTGTACTATGTGTACGGGTACGCAGAGGTACGCGGGGGACTCGATCTTGTGAGAACGTGGATCTAAAGAACCGTCTCCAAGCCCGGCGAATCGGGCGAGCTGCCCGGAAGTGCAATGGCCAGTGGGTGCGAAGCAGCACCGAACTCGAAGACCTGGCGCAAACACATACGTGGGTTCGGTGTCCAAAGTGCTAGGTGTCTGTCTTAAGCCGTAGAGGATGCAGGCATCGGTTTTGATGAGGCGCTGTCTGCGTGGGATACTACAGTGCAGCAACACCGCAACAGCAGCGGTATTATGGCAGCGATCTCTAAAGCAGTTGCGAACCAACAGTGGGCAGACGGCAGACGACCAGTCCCACCAATTCCAGAACACATAGCGAGCAGGCACGGTTGCTTCTTCTTCTCTGTGCGACGAGAAACCAGGCACTGCGGTAGAATTTGAGAACGAGAGGGTGAGACGGTACTGGAACATTGAAATATTGACAGCAGGCCCAACACCTCAGGGTGAACGAAGCTGCGAGCAATCTTTACGAGGAGGTGGCCTCCATCTTCCCGAAACGAGTCTTCCAGCTGCCTTCGTCCGCAGGGGCATCTTGCCTGAAGCGCGCAAGTGATCCAAGCCATTATCATTGCTGCGAATTCTCCTGAAGACACCTGAACTGTTTACTGCAGGCACAAGCAGCCAGAATCTCCATCTCAATAACAGGTGAACTCTGCTGCAAAACCGGGTGTATCCCTGCTGAAGCACAACTCCCACTCCAAAACGCCTCATGACACTTGCAGGACACCTTGCAACATCCCAACACACTAAACACAGAGGCCAGGCCAACCAGTGCCAGCCAGCAAAATTGAACAAGGGGGAACTTCTCCCAAGAACCGTCGAACAAGGACCAAGATCCGGTTCGGTAGTAGGGGGAGGGGAGCCAAGGAAAGTCCTAGATTCTTTGGGTTCCTTCTTGTTGAACTCCCTTCAAGCCCCACCCGAAAAACAATGAAGCGGCTTTACTTGCACCACCCCTTACCGTAAGGGCATGGCGTCTCCGCGAACACAGGCCTTTGAGCACCCTTGCCCTCGCAGAAGTCGAAGATCTCCTTTGCCTTGGATGCTTGATGAGGACACAAACAACTTGCAATTGCGTCACGTCCCAGGTTGTGCCAAGTGTCAACACTCATCTGCGCAGCAAGGGGTTTGCTCACGTCTGTTGAGTAACGTCTGCTGACTAACTTTATAATCCTGCCAAAGCCCAGTACTGTGTGCATTCACTTATTCAGCAATCCCTCTTTGCCGCCCTATCGAACTTCTTCAAGGAAACCCAAACCCTCAACTACATCGATATACTGAAACCCAGCCGCGCAGCTCAATAGTCCTCAATCTCAAGCATACGTCTAAGCAAATACAACCCTGATGCTTTGGAGTCCAACAGCCAACACACCGGACACCGCACCAAAGGCTCTTCTTCAACAGCCATGCTAGATTCAGAAGCGACCTGGGCTCCGGCATACTGGGCGGAGAACTCATGCTTTGCCCAAGCGACATTCATCCTTGGATCATGGGGGTCCAGGCCTTTTGGATCTAGGAAATGGCATGTACCTTACAATGGTGTGTACGGTTTTGTAAGGTAGGGTCTAGGAGTCCAGGTGCTTGGCCTCGCTTCAGGGTCTGAGAGCTGTGTGATCGCTGGCAGGCTTTGCTAACTCTCCATGCATACTGTCATGTGCGTTATGCTTATCCAGTATCCGCGTAATGACTGGCTTGCGCACCGTCAGTCCTGCAGCTCTTGTTTGTGTTCTGGTCTGTGAAGGACCAGCGTGCCCCTGCAGCGAAGCTCCCCTGAGAAGGAAGGAAACTGCTTTGGGCCATGCCTCTGCAGCAGTCAGTGTGTCTAAGCCCCCACAATCCGAACCTGTGAAATCCGAGTTGCAGCGTGTTTGGTGAATGCAAGACTCGAGCCGATCCCTGTTTGGATTCATCTTTCTGCTTCTCCGGCTTGTTACTTGCTATCTTTGTTGCCGGTGAAGGTTTTCTATGAGGACTCTCTTCTACTTGATTACCTCTGCTCGCACCGCCTCTATACCAGTACCAGTGCCAGTACCACCACGACCACCACCACGACCACCACCACTTGCGCTGTTTGTTGTGCGCCACGTGTGTCTTCCCAAGCCCTGAGCCCTGCTAACCCGAAGCCGTTGACCCCGAATCCACCTTTAGTCCTCAGCCTCGAACCTGGAAACTGGAAACTCCACAGGCGAAGTGGCAGTTCGGCAAGGCAGGATGCGTCTGGCTTGAAGGAGTCGAGGCCTTAGATGCAATGAAGGCCAGAAATCCACGGCTCTTATACAACTCTCACGTGCACAACAGTACGGTCAGAAGTGATAGGCATGTCTATGAGACGTGGAAGTAGCAACATAAACACTGCTAAGAGTAGTAGCGAGCAGGCCGTATTGAGGTGTGCTGTGTTTTTCGAAAGTGGCATGTGATAAACCCGAGACCCGAGGCACAGAGTCTGGTTGGAAGTGATACCCAAGCCCCCGAAGAGAGAATGTAGCACCAAGCTGTGCGCCCTTTCACACTAACGCCTACGGCCGATCGTCTCGAACCTGAAAGCGTCAACGAAGCAGCCACAGCAAGGGACTCGGAGGCAGGGTTTTGGATCATAGGTTTAGAGGAGGTGTTGTCGGCGAAGAGTCCAAGCCGTTCCACTCGAAGCGTTATTTTATCTGAATTATCTCACGTGCCACAGTCCAAATCCAAAATCCTGAAGCCAGCCGCAACTCGAGAATCCCTGCAGACCCTCGTAGTCAGGGTTGGTAGCTATTGGGCAGCGCGTCCATGGCTGCAGGCACCCACTCTCGACCCCTGCGCTGAGCAGAGCAAGGCGACTGCTTGTTGCAAAGCTGGCAAGGGGGCTCCACGGTTCCCACGCCCCTACACCCAAAGTCAGGAGTCCGGCATGTTGGGCACACTCTGCCTGGCATCGGACAGCAGGAATCCCTTGGAATCCAAGACGGAGTGATCCTGGCAATGGGGCTGGCAAACTTGGTGCTTGAGACCGACATCGTCGGTCGTAGGACTTGTGACCTGTGACATGTGGCTCAAATTTTCAGATGTAGTACTTACGGCGTGTATGAATTCCAGCTTTTGAGGTCGAGATGCCCGATTTGATTTAGGATTTGCTTGGTTTGGCTTCGGCGGGTCTGCCGATGTGTGAAGTCCTGCAGGGCTTTCACCAGCTTTGTCGCATCCGTCTCCGCAAGGCAACTCTGGAGGAACCTCGTCGTGACATTAAGACAAAGGGAAGCAGACGTGGCCAGTTGTCCAAAGTCTGAGTCCAAGTAAGCTTTTATCGGGCAGTTGGCAAGAGGGTGGCGTACCGATTTAGTTCCCGAAGCGCAAGCCAACTAAGCTTCTCCTTGCCGCGGAACCACATGCCCAATCCCGAATCCACAACAAGTAGGCAAAACCGTGGATTCAAAGTGTTGTGCTTCAGATAAGCTGCAGCAAGATCGTGGTTCCAAGATGTACCAGCCGCTTGCAGTCTCAAAACAGGAAACCAGACCAACACTCGAATATGGACAAGTCTTGCCCCCAAGCCGAATCATAGACTCCGAAACCCCTCCAACTGTTCGGGCACCCAAAGCACTCAATCCTGAATCAATATCTGAGCCTAGTTGTCCTAGCTTTGCGCATGCATGGCCCGAGCGGCGCAGGCGTAAGTGGACGAGGCTCGACGCCTTGCTAGGGCTGGACACTTGGGGCTTCGAAGTGTAATTCTGGCTTTCTTTGTTTTCGGCCAATGGCCAACAGGTCTCGTCTCCTCTCTTCGCCGGCACAGCCCGAACAACAAAGAAAGCGAATTCGCAAAAAAGGTGGATTCCTTGTCTGGGGTTTGGCACTCTGTCACACTCTGTCAATCTCTGAGCGAAGATCGAAAGACTCCAGGCCGAGGGCTTACTTGCCGTTTGTCGTCGCTGGGAGAAGGACTTGAGCTGAAGTAGCCAGATGCCCTTCGTTTTAAGCTACGCCTGCTTCTGAAACTTGACTTAGCCGCTAAAAACACTCATGCACACGGCAGTCAATCAGAACCGTCCACGTACACTGCCTTTTTTCCCGTAGGCACCGATCCCTGCTTAGAGTCAAGCGACGCAGCTCTTTCACACGAACTCCCCGAGAAGTGAGGTCAGCGATACTGTCCGCCACAAAGGATGCAGTGCGCTCATCCCTGCCGAGACTGGGTTTTGAGTTTCCACATGACTCCTAGTTTTCCCTTCGACTGAGTTTTTCAACTCCGGCCCTGCAGCTTGACAAGTGCATGTCCAAGTCTCCAAGGTCTTCAAGTCCGGGGCAGGCAGTTTCTCAACTCCCATGTCTTTCTTCAACTCCCATGCTTTGGCTTGGTGGAATATCGATTCGGAAATGCTCTGACACCTCACAATCCCCGAGCATCTCGCCGTGACCCCTGCAGTATGCTGAACATCAGCAGACCTCTTGCTCCTTACCCGGCCGTTCTGTTGCATCATGCGGGTGGCTAGCTCGGAAACTCCAACCGCGAAGCCCCACACCCAAGCCCAAACCTCAGGGGCAATAAGAAGCCCTGCATCCGACACCAGTACAGCACAGTACAGCACAAGTAATAAGATCATCCTGCAATGGCTCATCAGTCTCAATTTTTATGTTCACTCCAGGCACCAGCTCCTAAAGTTTTTGGTTCGAGAAGAACCCCAAACTGCACATGGTCAAGAGTTCTCAATGTTGTGGTGCTTCAAGCTAGGGGGGGGCGGGTGACCATCACCCACCCACCCTCGTTCCATCTTCCTCGAAACATTCCTGCACACCCCCCGCCCCCCAGACACAAATCTTCACGTGGTGAGCAGTCAGTCGTGAGTCGTAGTGAGCCGTAAGTAGTCAATGGTCGTAGTTGGCAAGGGCACGGGGGTGGTGGTGATGGCGGTGGTGGTGGTGGTGGTGGTGGTGGTGGTGGTGGTGGTGGCAGGTTTGGGGGGTGGTACATCACCCCTCAGGTGACCCCCCTCTCCCAGGCTGGGTCGGCGGAGAACTATCACCGGGCATCCTACACAGTGAACCCTTGAAGGCCTAAGATGCTTGCTGCCTTGGCATGTGAACGAACAGAGTCGGAACTCTATCGTTGATGCTGCTGTCAACATCCATGATCTCCGGGACGATGCACTGCCTCACATTTAAGGGCCACACACAGCGAATTCCGGGAACTCGAATCACCTTCCCAAACGCTGAGACACAATATCTCAAGCATGCCTACTCGAGCCAGCTCCAAACTATGCTTCCCTTCGAAACCTCAATCACAAGCCACAAATTCAAGCAGGTGGTTCTTAGACATGATTTACTTGCCGCGTAACAATTGTTGGGGCTTTGGGCGTGCTAGAACAACTCGGGGTGTGCAAGGGTCAGCACTTGTGTTTGAAGTGGAATAGCAAATCCCTCCTTGCCGGAGAAGCAACACGTGTCTGTTTCTCAGCACATCACGATCTAACCTGACACGTTTTCGCAATCTGAACACCTGAGCTTGCCAAACACAACACCGGTGAACAAACCTCCACCTCTTAACGAACAGATCCACCACAAGGCACTAGACATCTAACCTTTGCACCCCAACCCTTCTCGAACACCAGATCACATGTTGCAAAACTCGACATACCGAAACTCCACATCCCAAAGGCTCAATGTCGAGTCCAGGCACAACTTCCCGAGTCCAACCGACGCATCTGCGCCAGGCAGCAAGCCCACGAATGCCTTGGATGTGTCGTTTCTGGGTTGACCCCAGGCACTGAACCTTACTAGAGAGAAGACTAAGATGATTATGACAACTCCGCAAGCGGACTTCCCACAGAACCTAGGAACATGGAATCATGGAATCCCGAACACTAATACATTGAGAGGCTGCTGAGTACTTGTCCTTTATTGTCATAGCCGTAACGGGAACCTAGCCTGAGCCCCCACAGTCAGGCGTCTGCCAGCTAAGTTTCCAGGAGGGAGGGTGACGTCGTGGATTGGGACTTGAAAAGGTGTGTTTCTTGGCTCGTCTTTGGGCGGCCTTGCTCGGTTGTTTGAGGGTTGGGTATGTCTTTAGGGCTGAGATTCCAGAAATTCTGGGTGTTGAGCTCCAAGCTGTTGCGGAGTAGCTTGGATGATGACAAGAAAAGAAGAAACCTGTGATCCGAGGTGAAGCTCAAATGATGTGCCCTCACACAAAAACACTTGCGTGAACCGGAAATGCGGGATGCTCTGGCCACCTAGCAGACAGCACCACAGGTTTCCTTACCGATAAAACAGCCAGGCCGGGTCAGGAGTAAAGTCTAATCAAACCCCATCCTTCTTACAAAGACTGAGTCTCCCTCAGCCTGATCCACCATGCCCGCCCGAAACCACAGTCGAGCAGCCCCACCCGAGGAAGCACCAAGTGCCAGCAAAGGAAGATCCCTTGGTTGAGGCGCACTTGCATTGAACCGCGCTGAGATTCCGCTCGTATTGTATGCATGTGTCAACAGACACGCGGTTCACGATCATCGGTGGCAGGTCATGCAGGTGGAGGGCGGAGCACGAATGTACTACCTACCCACCTATCTACCTACTTACCTACCTACCTATCTGTCCGTTTATCTATCGGACCACAATTGAACAGATAGACAGATAGATAGATGAGTGAAAAACATGCGTACAAATAAAGATGCAGTGCCTTGCCACAGCTGTGCATTCATCTGAGCAAGACATCTATCTGACCTTTAGAGATGCAGAAAGCAGTACAAGAAGTAGCTGCAGTTGCGAAATTCCGAAGGCCAATGCGAGCGGCAAGATGTCATAAAATGACAAATGCAAGCGTACATTCAACGTAAAACGTGCGTAAAACAATGCAACAGCCACTCATGTTGCACACTCACGACGTTCTGATGACCAGCAAAAACGTGACAGAGTGCACTCATACCAGAGCATACTGGTCCACAGCAAGGGAGCTGGAACTCCCTAAAATCTCCCTTAACCTCTGGATTCAAGCAGTCCTGCAGCCTCCGCACCACCGTTTGACCATCGCAAAGCTTCCCTGAGCAGAAACCTGCAACACTTCACCATGCACCTCAAAGTATAGTCTTTATCGCCTATGTGTGAACCCTAAACTGTAAGCCCGACCTTCACACAGCAAGAAACTTCGTCGAGCCACTCTGAGAGCTTCTCGACCTTCCTGATGTGACGAACGGCGGCACCCACCTCACTTGAGGCTCCGAAGAATTGGGCTTCGGGTTGCAAGCCAGGAGTGCAAGAGTCTGTCTCTGGGTGCGAAATCTCGTGCTCAGGGTTGAAGAGAATGCTCGCTCTGCGGAGCATCAAAGGCTCCAACTTTCAGGCTGCCATACACCCGTAAAGTATCTATGCTGTTTCCATGCTGATAGCGCAATGGAAACTCCAGTTCGAAGCTTCATATGCTACTGTCCGGATCTTAAAGTAGAGAACACAGTTCTGGCTTGATGCCGATAGACGCTCAGATAGCCTGTGGCGTCACAATCAACCTAATCCGTATTGCTACAGCTAAGGGAATAGATCAACCCCGCCTACGTTCCCCACCTTGGCGACGTCTCTCTGGCCGTACCTGCCGGGAAGCTTTTGCAAGTACAGTAATTTGGCCATGCAGATATAGAGTATTGATCCGGCAAAAAAATCGGGATTAGGACTGCGTAAAGCTGCGGGCTTTTGATCGAGAGCACGAAGGCGTGCTTGCGCCACCAACTCTTTGACACACGCAAGGAATTTTGTGTCTCAGCCGTCGAAGCCAAGTTGCGATCCCATGCAAGCATCCTTCCCAGACCAATACCGATAAGTTAAAGTCCAAGTACAAGCCATTCACAAAGATCCTTGATCCAAGCCGAGACCGATCCTAGACCCCGGGAGCACCAGCAGCTGCGCACGCCGCTTCCACCGGAGACGGCCATGACTACCTAGGACAAAAACTCAAAGCACTCCCGGCAAACGACATGTTGAGGATGCTCGGATGGCCTGCGGGTTTAGGGTTAAGGGGTCTGCAGTTGCACCGCCCCCCTCAGGGTCTTGTGGCCTGAGATCTCTGTGTTTGCGGCAGCTGTCAGTAAAGGAAAAGATCCTTCACGATTTTGTGGACCTGGCAGAGAAGCATGCAAAGAACCCTGCCAGAAATCGACACAACACCCTGACTATCCTTTACGAATATTCGGAGCATCCCATGACGCACGAACTACCCCGGCGAGATTTTGTCCATCCGACACTGTAATGCATCAGGGCACGTAGCCCCTGTTGAGGGCATAGCGGCGCAGGATCCCCTGGCATGCAAGTTCGAGATGCATGACGGCATTAAACTTACGGAGATGACGGCGATTGATTCGGCGATCGGGGTCTATAGGTTTCTGAAGATCATACAACATGCCCAGAGGCCACGGCACCGAGGCCCAATCATGCCTCAAAAGCCCAGACCCGACAGCTGCTATATCGAACACTTCACAACTGCAGACTCGTCCCGAAACCAAACCCCCCAAAACCCGGAACCCGGTAACAACGAATTCATCCGGGCCTCCTCTGGCAGACCGAGGCATTTGCCATAGTTGGAGGTCGCCTGGGCTCAAGATTCAGGTTAGGCAGGGTTTGCGGCTTGTGTGAGCCTGCAATCCGGCAAGCTCAGCCACGAACCCTGGCTCTCAAAAGGACACAAGATCCGCAAACCCTAAACCCCAAAGCCTAAGTATTCCTGCATCCTGAACATCACGCAGGCATTGTCGGCATTGTCCACCAAGTTTATAGCCCAAAGCCCTGCAGCAAAACCAGAAGCCGTCCCGGGGCCCACCGCAAGAACAGAACGAAGTGCTATGAGATGCGAGCAGCACAGCTTTCAAACTTCCAACCGTCTTCTGCCACCTGACAACTTCTTGGTTGAAGGTACAGAAGGTGCGGCACCAACGTGCTTTGTGGTCATAACGCTTTCAGAGAGCTTGGAATTTTGTGTTATCGTCCCGAGGATCTAGCTTCCGAGCCGGATGCGAAATGTCTGAATTACAGCTTTTTGAAGCTTCAGCCTTGCAAACCCAAGAGACACAGGTATCAAGCTATGAATGCCGATTCTTGAATTGCTAGATGCTCCACTGACAGGCAACGAAGCAGTCGAGCATCGAGCTTCGATGAAGCTGTGTTGAGTTTTACAACTCTCCAAAGCATCTCTCAAGCGCGAAGGACCGTTCGAGAGCAAGGAGGTGGATAGAACAACTCCTCCATCAAAAGACGACACATCGGTGGAGTGTGAGGGCCCATGCTGAGCTCTATGCCCGCTTCAGGGGTTGCACAGGCTCTTGAAATTCAAACCAGGGCTGCAAGGCGTTGATGGAAGCAGAACAGAATCCGCAGGCAGCCTTACAAACTGTTCGCACGAAACTGCTGTTAACGAGTACGTACATATGTAGAAGTGATGGACGACTTGACAAGTGATAGTGCCTTGGGAGAAATAGATAGAATCTGGTTCCAGGTATCCAAGCCCCCTACAATGGCCGACAGTGTAGAATCCCAAGAGTGTGGAGCGGTACAACAACAACCTCCTTTGAAAATGCAGTAGTTCTTGATCTTGGAGATGAAAGCCGAGGGTTGGGCACCTCCGTGGCTTGAAAGCCTATGAAAGTTTCAGTGCAGGGGGCGGAGGGTTTTGGGGTTTCGGACACACTTAAAACCCTGAGCATGCATCCTGAATCCGATTTTCTGCACAACCGACAGAGCTTTCGGGTTTGGGCTTGAGGGTTTATGGAGTTTACGGCGAGCTTCGCAACCATGCGCCTCTGGCCTCGTCAAACACATCAGTTGCCTGGTGTTGGCAACCGTGGGCGATGAAGAAGATGCCTGGACCGGAAGGGATGCACACTACAAACCTCTGCGCGGTTTGACAAAACCCTGCCAACAACGCACAGCTCGGAAATCTCCAAATTTCGATATCCTGATGCCCTACTTTCAAAAGCCAGCACCAACCCAAGCTCAATGGAGTGTGATTGTTGGCAGTTTGCAGATTCTAGCTCTGTTGAAGACCCTCGAACATGCGCACAGTGTTCCGATGCGTCCGACAGACCGCAGGGAGTTAGGGGGAGGGTCTCAAGGTTCCAAATAGCCTTAGAGCACAGTAAGAGCAGGAAGAGCAGAAGCGGGAGCATCAGCAAGAGCAGCAGCGAGAGCAAAGCAAAAGCGCGGGAGTAAGAGCAACAGCAGGAGCATAAGCTGGAACAAGAGATGCAACAGAAGCAGGAGAAAAAGAGAGCACGTCCCCTCAAAAGTGGCAGTAGAGACTCAAAGCTTTTTTGGAAGCCTTGAGGCCGCGCGGGCTGGCAGCCCGTAGCGACTCAGAGCCTTTGTGGAAGCCTTGAGGCCGTGCGGGCTGGCATCCCTGCCAGCCCGCAGCGACTCAGAGCCTTTGTGGAAGCATTGAGGCCGTGCGGGCTGGCAGCCCGCAGCGATTCAGAGCCTTTGTGGAAGCGTTGAGGCCGTGCGGGCTGGCAGCCCGCAGCGACTCAGAGCCTTTGTGGAAGCCTTGCGGTCGTGCGGGATGGCAACCCGCAGCGACATCAGAGCCTTTGCGGAAGCCTCGAGGCCGTGCGGGCCGGCAGCCCGCAGCGACTCACAGCCTTTGTGGAAGGCTTGAGCTGGCTGGCAGCCCGCAGAGCGTTTGTGGAAGCCTTGAGACCGTGCGGGCTGGCAGCCCGCAGCGACTCAGAGCCTTTTTCAAGCCTTGACGCTGTGCGGGCTGGCAGCCCGCAGCGA